CCTCGCGTATCTTTCTTTAAACCCCCCCCTTACCCTCTTAGCCCCCTTTTTACCCCCGTTCACGCTTCTTGCCCCGTCTTATTCCCTCCTTTATCCCTGCTTATTTCCCCTTGATGTCTCCTTTCCCCACCTTATCTCCCTTCTTACCCCACCACCCCTCTTACGCCTCCCTGGCCTCTTCTCTCTCCTTATCCCGCTCTTACCCTCCTTCACCCCTCTGAACCCCTTTCACTTTTCCTATCCCCTCTCCCTTATCCCTCTACTTTCCCCTCCTCACCACCTTCTTTGGCCTTCCAAGCCCCTCCAAGCCCTCGTTCACCTCCTTTATTCCCTCCCGTAATTCCCCTTCTCGCCACATGGAATTCTGACAGTGGTTCCCGCCTCCCCGCAGGCACCGGCAGCTGCAGAAGGAGAAGCGGCGGCGGCACCAGGAGCTGTTCGCAGAGCAGAAGGTACCGCGCTACCCCGGCCGGGCTCCTGCGGGCCCTGCGTGTGCCTGCCGGCGCTGCCCGTGCCCGCCTGACTCCCCTCTCCCCCACAGAAGCGCAGGCTGCTGCCCGAGGCCGTGCTGCAGGAGCTGCAGGAGCTGCAGGATGTGTCCCCACGGTGAGGGGACCTGGGGAGGCGGCGGTGGGTGTTGGGATCCCTGTTTCCTTATCTACCACCCCTGGGGCAGCCTCTTCTGGTCCTGGCTTGGGAGGCCGGACTGGAAATGGGGGTTCTGTGGCTTTGGGTAAACGAAGGGAGCATGAATTGAAGAGTAACTGTTGCCTTCCCTTTGCTCTGCAGGCCCGCTGAGCAGGCTGTGGCCGATGACCCAGGTACGCTACAGCTTGCTTTGCTAATGAGGTGCACATCTGGTACTTCAGGAGTTCATTCCTGTGCCAGAGGTGCAGTGGGGAGCTCTGGTGAAGAGACCTTATCCAGGTCTTAAACATGAACACACTGGACAGAGTGTCTTTTCCCCAGGAAAAGAAATATCTGAGGAAAAAATTCAGTCTAATTCTTACACCTTTTACAGAAATCACTTGCTGTGCAGTGATTTCACTTAAATCGCCTGATAATTAAGAGAATCATGGGCAGGTGTTACAGCAGAAAAAGCAAGGACTACCAGAGGTGAATTAATATTTAGCCTGTGTTTAAGTTACAAAGGCTATTCCTGGGTAGAGTTGTTAAATTGCTGCAAACTTTATATATCAAACTGCAGTTTAATAGCATCTGTAGAAAATTAACTTTTTTCAAACTCAGAATTATAAAATCAAGAACCTAGTGTTTATGAGTGCATTCATCTGTATTTTGTAGGACTTCACAAAATTATTTAAACAGTTCTCTCATCCAAACCTCACATACTGCTGTATGCTGTAATTGCTACTTTTTCTTGCTTTTATTTAAACAAGATCTGACATAACAAAGAGATAAGCTGAGACTTAAGCAAGACTAAAGCTAGAGATGGATTTCCCTGTATGGGTTACCTGTAGCTGTTGTGTTGCACTGAATTTTTGTCCCGTGATGAATCCCACTTAATTGATGTCAAGGAGGAGGAAAGCTGGCTAGCAGTACTTCGGGCTCCCCTGAGCATATATGTCTTCCCCTCCCTCTTAAAGCTGTTCTTCCTAGTCAGTGCTTCTGGAAAATGCTGCTTGTTTTGAATCCTGTTTCTGGAACCTGTGACCGGTTTTGATTTGTAACATTTTTGGGAAATTTCATTTGCAAGTTACTCTAGGTGAGGAACTTGACGCTGGGGCTGTACAGCTGGAACAAGGCCAAGATGAAGCGCAGGAGAAGAAGGGCAAGAGGAGAAAGGGTGCCAGGTAAGAGGAGGAGATGGCTTTGTCTGGTGTGGGAAGGGGCATCACAGCAGCTGTTCTGTCACTGCATGGCTGTACCCTCTTCTGCACTTTATGTTCCCTTGTCCTTTGATTGAAAGCATATTTATGTGCTAAAAGCACCTTTAATAGCTTCTAGTTTAGCATATATGTGTGTGTATATATAATTTTAATGTATTACAGGTACGTAACTGCTATGAGATAGCTGGGCAGTCATAAGCACAGCAGTACACATTGTGTTGTGTGCTGCTGCAGGTGGGGTGGTTGAGCACCAAATTCCTGCATTTTAAGCTATTTTTCTCTCTCCTCTTTATTTTGTTGTCACTGATGGTCCTAGATAGTAACTGCCCTAGCTCCTGGTAGGATGAGCTCAGGATGGCAAATAAAACTGCTCAGGGTACACAAATGCATATGACAACAGCTTTAGAGTATTGGTCCAGCTTTTTATTTTTTTAATACTGCCACAAAGCTCATCTGGGTATCAGAAACCATCACTGGCTGCTGCTGTGCTCAAGCAGCAAAGCTTGACAGCAGCATCTGTTGTTCTGGATCCTGTAACCACAGTGCAGGGATTTCCATCTCTCTCTGACTAGGACAAAAGGGAACTACATGGCTGTGTGCTTGAAAGACCACAGTGTAACAGGCCTGCACCAACAGCTCGCCAAAGACTTCCTAAATGCTCAGCTCTATGGGCCACACACCAACAGGGTACAGGGTAAGCACTGCTGCTTGGCTGGGTCTGGATCGAGCCTTGTCTGCTTTCAGCTTGGTGATTAACACTTGTCTCTGTTTCAGCAAGTGAATTTTTTTCCTTTGCAAACAAGAGAGACCCAGTCAAAAAAGCTGCAGTTCAGTTTGTGGACAAGTCTTGGGGTGAGTACAGAAGGTCAGAGTAGGTACTATTTTCTGCATATGTGGCTAAAAGTACACTTGAATAAAATCAGGGTTTCTGTGCTAGAGCATCCTGGCTTATGATTCGCTTAACTCCAAGCACCTGGAGAGTAAGGAAGGGGCAGCAGGACACTGCAGCCTCAGTGGGTGTCATGAGCACACCCCTGGGGATGGTGTATGAGACCCAGGTTGAAAAAAAATTACTTAATTTTTGGTATGTTCAGAGACAGCTCTTGTGCTAGAACCAGGGCTGCTCAGTGAAATAAATACTTCGGTAGGTGTTGTTTCAGCCTCCAGTCTCTGAGCTGCTGGAAGGCATTTCAGATGATAAAGAGGGATAGCAAGATCCCAGGACATCCGTGTGGTGAGCACAGGGAAATAGCACCCATTTCTCCTCATTTCCATAATGGATGGGGACAGGCTCACAGCCACACAATCTGTGAGGCTCATGAACACCAGAGGAAAAAGTTACTGATCCTTAGCAAGCAGGGCCTGTTTTCCATCTGTGCTCCATCACTGAAAGCAACATTGCACCCCCCCATCCTCCGAAGGAGCCTGGTGCACAGTGGTACTCCTGGCCAGTGGAATGCACCTGAGGCATATAAAACACATTAGAAAGTTTATCAGTGTTTGATGTGGTTCTGTTCTGAAATGCTGCAGCAGCCAAGGGATTGGCTTTTCCAGCACATGGGCTAAGAAAATGATAACTATTATGTTATATTATTAATTATAACAGCTATTTGTTTGTTTCGTTTAAGGGCAAGATAAAAAGGAAAAAGCAGCAAGGTTTAAGAAACGTTGGCTGGCAACACAGGTTAAAAATGGAGTCTGAAGACAGCTTTTTCAGAAGATGCTGCTACGGACTTTTAGTGACAGTTGATCTCAACACAACCCAGGTGTTTTCTACCCCCTTCATCATCACTTTGCTTTCAGCTCCAGCCAGCAGAAGGCTCCAGGCTGTGCCAGATCAGACTTCCCTGTTTTTTCCCCCTGTCAGAAGTTCTTGGGGAAGCTACAGAGCAGCCAGGCCAGTGTTGTGAAACACCAGGTGCTAGGGCCAGGCTTGCTGAGCTGCCTCCATGAGGCAATGCCTTTGCAGAGAATAAAGATGAGCAATGTTCTACCTACTGTTGTGGATGCTGCATTCCTTACAGCAGGCAGTTCTTCCTGCCGCTTCAGTGACTCGTGTCTCTAAGGAAAGGCTGTACCCTAACAGCAGAATCATTAAATCAGCTCCCACAGCAGGACACTTCTCTCCAGCCTGATGCTTACTTTCCAGCTGTAAGGGATGGGATTTTCCCCATCTGCACGGAGTCCTGAGTTAGCTTCCTGCTAGAGTCACTCACTGTGTGGCAAGAACACGGCAAAGCCTTTCACTTGGCACCAGCCCAGCTCCCTCGGGGAAGTGGCAGCCCTTGCTCCAGGGATGAGCCACTCCCCTCACACGTCTCCACAAGAACCGCTGGAGCTCGAACAAGACAATGTAGCATAAACGTCCCTGCTACCGTGGACGTAGATGTAAGTTTTTAATGGCTGGTTAATTATGATATCACTACATTTTATTGCAATATAGTACTATTTAAGCACTTTTAAAAATGCAAGGTGTACAAAGATTAAATTAAGACTGTAAATTGACTAAATATTTGGTTTTTATATAAATAGGTCATAACCACACTGTGTTGACATGTAATACTGTTATAATACAACAGTTAAACTGGTGAGCCTACACAACAGAAGCTGTCTGTAGTTAAACAAGGAAACAAAGTTGAAAAGACCATGTTAAAACAAAAAACTACTAAGATCAACAGGTTGGGATTGTAAGTAGCAACAAACATATTCACTCAGCTCCTGAGTAATTCAAGTTTTACAGTACACATTAAAAAATATCATTTCTTCCCATCAACACTATATATCCAAACCATTTGCATTTTGCAAATTACACTGATTGAACTATGTAACAATGGGGGTGGAGGTTGGCAAGTCATCCTGCTTGACGTTTACATCACCCACATGCTAATACATCCATGTTTTCTATTCTTCCGTCCCACCACAAGGTAGCAGGATTTTTGGTTTGTTTTGGACAATCGTTCAAAGGATTGGTACTTGTCAATTTGGATGTCTGACGTTACCAGTGATATTTTCAACTCTTAGTTGTCTAAGAGGTTTAAAGATGGAAATCTTCTCCTAACACTAAGTTAGAAATCATTTGCATCATGCTGTAAACTAGGAAGCAACATAAAGCGACAGACTTGTCCTTAGTACATAATTAAAATTCCAAATTCCAGTCAGCAGAGCTGGTCTGCTTTCCATGTTGAATATGCCACAACACCTTTCAGACCTTCAAAATGCATAGCTAGTGTAGGTAGTCTTCCACTGTGGCGAACGCACAGGATCCAATTCCTGACCGGGCCATCAATCCTAGACACTGTGACGCCTGTCCCATGGCAAGGGCAAGTGGGGGTTGCTTTGGCAGATTGTGAGTCTCTGAAAAAGAATCACAGTGGCAGGTAAAATACCTGAATTATTTCATAGTAATACAATGAAAACTTGACATTTAAACTACTTTAAATCATTTGAAAAGTTTCCTCTTAGAGCAAGACACAAAGCAGGAGTAACAAAGTGACCGTGCACAGCACCGTTATTGAACAGGCCCATTTTTGCTCTGAACTACAAAAGCAGAGAAGTACTGTTACTTTACATACTCTCCAAAAGTATCCCTCTCTTCCCAGAAGTGTACCCTACACTGCTAGCCCTACGGTGGAGCAGCAGGGGCACCTGTGTGGGACAAGAGGGAGGCACCCTGAGCTTCCTGGGCGGGTCACACTTACCTAGTATTGCACTATTCAGCACAGAGCACACTGGTTCTCTTTGTATGGGGTCGAGCTGATTTCCAACAGGGCTGCTCCAGGGATCGGAATATGCAAGTAAACTGAATGCATCCTGTGGGAAGATGATTTTATTACAGCTACAAGCAACTAGTGAAAAGATGGGCTATTTTGTTCAACTGTTTTGATTCAGAATCACAAAGGTGACTGTCAGCATCAACACAAAAAGACAGAAAGAAACTGTGACAGGACTTGTTCCATTCAGTGTTTTTTCCCAAGAGCAAGGCAAAAGGTAGCATTATTTTACTAAGTGATGGGGTAAGAGAAAACAGACTGAAGACTGCATGCAGTCTTTGGCAGGAGAATTCCAGAGCAGTCTCAAATCAAGGCAAACTAATTAACATGCAGAGTACTAATGACACAGCACATTTTGGGCATCTCTACCCTTGCAGTTCTTTTATCATTAGAGACAAAAACAGAGTTTTGATTCAAGAGGCCAAGTTACGTGGTCACAAATGAGAGAAAGTGCTAGATTAATTTCTGTGTTTAACTGTGTAACAGCACAAAATTGTCTTCCCTGTGCACGTGCTACACCACAGCTGACCAGAACACCTGCTCTGAGACAAGTGAAAAATGGCAGAAGTTAAAGCACAACAGTATTCCATCAGCACACCATGCTGTGGGCAGTTCCTGCTGGGCAGCACCTTTACAAGAAGATTAAACATACCTTGAGCATTTTCTTATTCACTGTGTTTTTGCCACATTCTCTTCTTAGCTGCTCGCTCATTGCTTGCAATTCTCTTCCAAAATGGATCATCCTTTCAATGGCTGCTTGGCTGCCACCACATAGCTGGCGTCTTAACTGACTTGAATCTACTTCTAAAGAAATGATATCGTCATCATCACCACTGACAGAGCCGAGGGTAACAGCCTATGGATCTACAGACTCTGCACTGGTTTCACTCAACCACAGCTGCCTGCCCAGAGGGACAGCAGGTCAGCCAGAGACCCTGGCCCCACGTGCTCCTGTACCACACACACTGCAGAACTGCTCCTTATAAACATTTAAGAGACCTGGTTAACTAACAGCAAAGGCTGTCACAACATGTGCTCTTTATTTGCAAAGGGTAATTTTAAACTAACTAGAAGACAAACCAGATTTTACCCTAAAATTTTAAAGTTTAAAAAAACAACAATAAAAGTCCACACAGTTCTAACTTTCTTAATTATTTGGCATTGCATTTCTAAAAATAAACCAAATCGGGAACTAACAGAGGGTAAGAAAATGCCAACCTTCCTCAACAGCCATGATGGATTCTGCTACAAGACAATAATTTAGACTGTTCATACCCCTCACAGAACACATTATCTTAGTCATTTGGCTATTTCAGGCTTGTTTTGTAATCAAGCAGGACACTACAACTGATTTCTTTACTGTTTCCTACAATATTCCCCAATACTAGTGATTTTAAAACATACTGATGCAGCTTATGAATAGTAAACCAACACTTTGGCTTCTTTGAAAAATCTGCTTCTTAAAAATTTACATCTAAAGCACCACATTTATAAAAAAGGCATTTATCCATTCCTTGTCTTTTTTCATCAATGGAATCAAGTTTTAAAATGAGCATTTTGACAGACTCTTCAATTACAAATCCACTCTTCCTTCCCACTTTAACACTCCTATTTAGTGATGTAATTTGACTACTATTTCAAAAAAGGATTTTTAACTGGCCACTTTTTTTTTCCTTAGATCTATCACCTCTGGAAAATACCTGCCTACTAAACCTTACATACACAGCACTAAGAAAAATATATAAATATTTTAAAAAATGAAAAACCACCAGACTCAAACTGGGTGGGGAGTGTGTGTGTGGGGAGGTGTTAACAGTGTAGGTAAAGCACACACAAGTCATCAAGTAGTGGTGTTTGTCCCTAGCTCAGCCTCATCTAAGACATGACTTTCCAAAGGCAGGGGACAATTACATTACAAAAAACACAACTCCCTGCCCTGTGCAGCTGCTGCATGCCTGTCGCAGCAAGTCTCTGCAGAAGAGGCTGCAGGAGAGCAAAGGACCTGTTTTGGGTTTTCTGTCACAGAAATAAGGTCTTGTTATTATCCAGTTTCAAAGTATAATGCAGGGAAAATGGTCTGGCAGCTTGCATTCCTCCTTGCAGGGCTGTAACAGAGTGACATCTGCTGTTCCACAGTTACTGTATTTCCCAGCAAAGCTGCAGGATTCAGCAGCAGCAGCACATGCCCCGGAACTGGGAAGTGCTCACAGTGCACGCACTGCTGCATTCTGAAGGTCTCACATTTCACTTGAACTACACTTTAACTGACATCTGCTTAAATCAATTGTTTGAGTACCAATTCTGCAGCTGCACAAAGGGCAAGCAGAGGGGACTTAAATACTCATTTGCCACCAACATCAACAGGCATGACAGTATAAAGCATATTATGTAAAACAAACTTAATTTTTAGCTCCTAACTATATAAATTGGTATTTTTTGGTGGAAAACATGGGGAAAAAAGTTAATTTTTCATTTTTTACATTTCCCAAATAAAGCTTTTGAGCATTAAATAATAGCATTTTGCATTTCAATATGAAAGATTTAGAATTCTTACGCTTACTGTGGAGCACAAAGATGCCATGAGAACCATGAATGGGAAGAGGGAGAAGCAATTTCCCAACTCAAACACAGGGTGCTACACAACCGGGTGTTTCTTCTCAAAGGTACTTCCTTAGAAATGAATGCTAGTTTCAGTAGCCATGAGTTATCCATTTCCCCTGTTCTCACACTGATACTGGACTGCCTAAATCAGTGGTTTTAAAATTTACATCTAGTAATAGCAAAACAAACAAAAAATTCAGATTTGAGCTAGTAACCCTAATTTTCAAGTTGGGAAGCATTGCAAGTAAAAACATAACCTTGTTGCCATCACTTAATAAAAATGTAAGAAATATCACTGCAGACCCATTTCTGTGTCACATTCTTCCATTTCGTGATCATGTTTAGAACTACCATTTAGGAAGCCATTGGATGAAGTCTCAGCAACCCCATTGGAGTAGTGATCTGTTTCCATGTCTACATCATTGCTGAAAAGAGAGTAATAAATATAAGTTTTACTCATGTTTAAATACTTAGGTTATCTTTACAGCTTCGTCACAGAACTTCTTCATCTTAGCTACTGAAAAGCTGCTGTTAAATATTACCAAGCTAGACCACAGTTTCTTCAATAGCAGCCGGTGATACCAGAGCACCATGTGAAGTTTTAAGGCTGTCTCAACATTAGTTTTC